ATGCAATCTTTTCGATTTTGACCTTGTTTTGAAATTTTGAGGCTGTCGCTATAACAAATTTAGCGTTTCAAGCAGACGACAATTAATCTGGGACGGAGGAAGTACATTAGATTTATTGAAGTAATCATGTTCACCCCTTTGCTCGGCCACAATATGAATCTGATGACTACTTGGTGATGACAGGCTGCACCATCATCATAATCGTAATTTGAAAGGTCAATTGAGTTAGCTAAACCACTTTCAAAGTAGCAACAAATGTCACAATCAAAAATATTGGGTGCCAAAACCTTTGGCTACTATTTTTTGTGAAAAATAACTCATCCCCACTATTTCTGGGGTCTCTTTGAAATCGCCTAAGATTCGGCCAAAAATTGCGCATTTTGATTAGACGTCCGTTGGCGATCCACGCGGTTATGAGTCACTGCCGTCCCTGGCGTGCCAAAGCAAGGTCGTTGTTGCCGTCGTGGCGAAGGGCATTGTTCCTCAAACGTGTTTGGATCCCCATCTAAAAAATTCCATCCCCACGGCGTCGAAGATGGCAGAAATCGCTGCCCTCCTTGATTTCCGATGCGAGGTCTTGACACAAGCGGAAAGGCTAGCACCCAGGACGCCAAGCTTGGGCTCCGTGCAAGCTATCACTTTAAGGTTGTGTTGTGACCTTTCTCTGATATTGTGCTTCTATCGATCCTTGAATCTCGGATTTCACGCGTGGCTGGGCCCAAATTCCAGAAATTGCTACTGGCGGCCAATTTCTATGTACGGATCGCACCACTTCACAATCCACCTGGTCTCTACTCGCGAGAGAGACACAAACTTATGTATCTGACCATTCGGTTCGCGTTCCACTCTTTGAATTGTCGTGGAAAGGTCAACTTCGCCATCCCACCTTGGAAGCCACTCTCCTAATCGTCCGCTATTGACCAGGGTTGATATCCTCTTTAAGGGGCTTGGGAAGCACTGGGCGGTACCCCTCACAGCAGCGATGGAGATTCAAAATTGGCGGCACAGAAATCTTGGCCAGAAATACATCCCCGATTTGGCAAATCGATCTCAAATTAGGGCAGCGAAGCCATGGCAACTTCCGCGATCATGCCCGCCAAGACACGTTTTCTACCGCTTTTCTTTTTCACAGGGACCTCTCCAGGCTTTTGTCTACAGGCGTGGATGGTTTTGCACAGGCGGTCTCGCTTAGCCACCGCAAAGGCGGGCTCCTCGCCATTGGGAAAAACAACCGTTTTGGTAACTTTGTTTAAAAACGGGTGGGTTTCTGACAAGAAGACCCTTGCTGCAATGTATTGCCAAATCTTCAAAAGTAATTACGTGTTGGTTTACTGACATAATTATGTTATAACGGATTGACTTGAAATGTTGACCATACACTCCGAAAACATGGATGCACATTTGAATAATTTTTTTTGGAAAAAGAAACATCAACGATGGAGAATTAGGGTGCCAAAATCACAAAGGGCAATTGATTCCAGACTGAGGAAGTACCAATTCCTAATGCCAAGGAGCGATTGTCGATGACAATTCATAAAAAAAGCGTCCTCGCCAGTTGGCGAGCGTGAGCTGAAGTAAAAGTAGAGATGAAATTGTAAGGAAGGAAAAATGAAACAGGTATGCTACGAATGCTTAAGTAGAACATCAGTCAAGCCATCAATGAAATATTTTCCCTGCTGAGAAATTGAGCTAGTGGATTCTGGCCAGAATTCATGGATTTCAGCATCAACTGATTGACGCTGAGACCAGAATCCACTGCCTCCTAATTTCCGATTGTTTGCAGGAAATCTTAGATGTCAGGGCAAGAAGATGGCCATCTGCTCCCTATCTTTCTGAATTCTGAATTCGTTGCTTCAATGTTTGACTTTGAAATAATAAGTCACGGAGGCTGCTTTTATAGAACCAAATGGAGACTTGGGGTTACACGCTTGCTTTGATTTATAAGCAATTCTTGAATTCAATTGCTGTATGGCTTGGTTGATGGATCGATCATCAATCAAGCAATCAATCAAGACATATTGGGACGCTTGCATGGGTAGGCAACCACACAGTTCTCAATCAACTAATGTCTTTTACATGCCCTATCCGCTGAACTCTGCACCTCAAAGGGCGCCATCTCATGTGATGATCACAATCATCTAACTTTCTAATGTACAATTGGCGACCCAAACAGTAATGTACCTTGCTGTGCAGTCGCTGAAAGTTAGCCCAAAAAATAAACTGACTATGATGTAATCATACGCTTGTACATTCAAAATATTGGCTGGAAGGTTTTGTTTGTGACAGTTGCTTGGCCCCCAGCTGGTTGAGGTTCGCGGTAGTGTGCTTTTGCAGGCGAGGTAATTGATGCCACTGCCGAAATTGTTCGCATGGCAGGGGCCGAGCCGAGGACGCTCCTTGGTGCACCATCCCGACCGCTGCGTCGTGTGCAAAGGCCCCCCGGAGAATGGCCGTCACTCGCCGAACGGCCCAGTGTTGGGATTCGCGCCGGCCCATCCCCAAAGGCCGTCAATGCACCCTGGCGGTCACATCGATGCAGCAACGACCCTGACGGGAAGAACGCACTCGTGCGCATGGGAGGCGTTGCAGGAGGCTGCCCGGCTGTGAAGCGGCTTACCCAAATCCCCCACCTGGGATCTCTGGGCGCTGGGATGTTCAGAGTGAAGACAAAGGCTCACGCTCAGGCTCACTGCTGCAGTGCGTTCCTCCCGTCAGGGTCGTTGCTGCATCGATGTGACCGCCAGGATGTCCTGGGAGCCTTTGGGACGGGTCGGCGCGAATCCCAGCACTGGGCCGCGCGGCGAGTGACGGCCATTCTCCGGGGGCCCTTTGCACAGGACGTGGTGGTCGGGATCGAAGGACGACTAAGCAGCAGGTGGATGGATTGCAACGCCCTAGCGACTGCCGGGAGAGTGCTGAAGTGCACAACGAGGATGCCATGAGGTATCTGCCACAGGTGGGGTCACACCTGCGAGTCGCTTTGGAGCATCTTTATCGGTGGGTGCTATTGTCCCAGCGGTGCCATTCGGCCGCAGTAGGGGTTCCTATATAGCGCCTCACCGTGACATGGCCAGAAGGGGGGCACTATTGGGGGCCGGGGGCGCTACAGTGTTAAGGGGGGTTACCCTAAGCGGCCGGTGTGGACCCAAGCGCCTTGTGTCAAGCAATGTCATTCAGGCCTATGGAAAGGGCGCCCCGGCCGCCATTGCAGGGAGTACCCTACGCTGCCGGTGTAGGGGTTACGGTAGCCGCCGGTATAGTGGGTCCCACGGCCGCCAGTGTAAGGGGTACCCTAGCCACCAGTGTAGGGTACCCAAAAGGGAGCGCTATTGGGGAACGGGGGCGCTATTGGGGGGCGCTATATGGGGACCCCTACTATATTCGAGTAGCACCGCACATCAAAAAAACATCATTAACGGTTGGGGAGCACCCCAGTAGCACGGCCGATGCCATTCGGCACCGAGCGGTGCTATTCCGGGCCCGAATAGCACCGTTTAATGCCAAATAGCACACCAGAATAGCACCCGGTGCTATTTGCGCAGAACATTGTACTGCAACCGCGATGCACGGCAGCCATTGAGAACCATCCCTGGATAGCTCCGCTGGTGCAATATCACCGACCGATAAAGATGCTCTTAGAAATACTTTCAAGGCAAGGAGGTATCCGTCAGCTCTGTTTTGCCAGGACGGTCCTCAGGTCCTGAAGGCGATTTACTGAAATCAAGGGGGGTGCCCCCTGCCAACATTCAATGACACCTGGAGCATTGCTAGCGCCCAACCATGTCATCCTGGTAGGCTCCTCGGTCATTGAGCGTGAACGTCATCACCAAGCAAATTTTTGCCCATAACAGTCTGTCGCCATGCATCTGGGCATCAGCCCTCAAGAGTTTACGAAGCACACCCCGACGACCTCTGTAAATGGACGAACAGGCGTCTCAGCGCCGGAGGGGACGACTATTGACGCTGACACTTGCAGCAATTTCGCTGTTCGCTCCATGAGTTTTGCTTTTTATGTGCGCAAGACTAGGTGAACCACATGCAAGAACACGTGTAATATTTGCCGCACAGTAATGTCCGCCATTTTCGTGCGGATGAAACGGCAGAGTGGTGTGATATTTTGGCGAATTCGCCAACAGGATTGTGTGTATATTTGAGGCCATTTGAGGCAGTGGTGAGTTTGGGGTGCACGCTTTCAGTACACGTCACATTGTGTGGGGTATATCGGGTTGGGGTGGCCAATCTAGAGACCAACATACTTCCGAGGCACGTGTGGGGTATGCTGCGACAATAGTGCTCTTGGCGCCACGACCAGTATGCCGGAACCTGATATTATCGGACTGTACATTGAATACTTGATCGACTGACGCGTTCCAACACATCCGGTTCTCTGCAGCCTCTTTGCGCAGTTGGCAAGCTCAAATCTTTTTACATGGACTTAAAATAGCCATCCGACAGCACATCACTTCATGGAACGAATTCCGCACTAATACTCGTCAAGAATATGCCAACGGCATTCCGTCTGTGACGCTTCTGTCTGCGCCCAACTTCAGCATTTGGCCACGCCACCGTATCCAATCCATCAGCCCGCACGCCTTGTCTTTGTTCACGCACTGCTGCGCCCCAAGCGATCTGTTGAAAGCAAGAGTTGCTGGGCAACTACCGATCCGCTACCGTGAGGCAAGCCCCCACCACCGCCACAGGGCTCTAATACTTTGATGTCCAAGGCTTCTGAGCCGTAACTCCCATCCCATCAACTTGCCTAACTAGCTGAACACTTCGCCGCTTCACGTTTCGAGGACATCTTCTATCAGTCTCGAAGGTTTTGTACGCAACTGTTTCCACCCCGTGGGCTGCGGTTGGCAGCCAAGGCTTCGCGAGCAGGACCCACAGCTGGTTTAAGCCTGCTCTCCGCATGCACAACGATGGCCCACATGCACTGCGATCAGCAGCTGTCGTGCTCGATGCACAGGGCGATGCGCTTCCAGGAAAGAGGCTGTGCGTTACCGCGCCTTCAGCTTTTCACTCCTCATCATCTCCACGAACTTTTCGAAGCACACGTCTGCATCGTGGGGACCGGGCGACGCTTCTGGGTGGTACTGTATGGTCATCGCCTGCAGCGAACGGAAAGGGGTCAGCGCAAGGATCTGAGTGAGCAGCGACAGGAGACCGACAAGCGAAGATGGAAAACAAAAGCTGAAAGGAAGGACACTGGGACAGAGCGACAGCAGGACACTGTTCAATACACCACAGTTTGTAGAATTTATGTGCTACAGCAGTTGCATACAATAGACTCTATTAGACTCTGCTATTTAAAATACATGCTGATCAAATGACGATACCATGCACAGTACTAAGAAGAATGAAGTGCATTGCAATGAGCTATGCATCACGGGATGCAGTAGAACTCCCACACAAGCTGGCGCTAATCTGGCATTGTGGCAAGGTCCCCATCAAAGGTGGTGCAAACTGAGCCGGTACAAGGGAACACAAGGTCACCTTCTTCTCCTCATACACCATCCCGGCACATGTCCCATCGTTGAGGTTAATGTGTGTCACCTCCACCCCAGGCGGCAGCGTCTCTGGGTCCACCGCAAAGTTGTGGTTCTGGGAGCTCACCTCAATTCGACCTGCACATCAAACAAAGCAAGACAGACATTCAAATGCATGTGGGAACAGCGTGCCCAGCATGGCACCGCAAAGTCATTAAATCAGCAATGTCCACATTGAAGGAGCACATGCTTGCGAAGCAGTCCACAGTTCTGGCTCTAATGTGTGGGTACACTGCAAGGGGCAAGGTACACAGGTTATGCACATGCACTATGCAAGTATCAAGTGAAAGGTTCAACATGACAGAAAGAGCAGCATGCCAATACCAGGGCAAACCCCTGTGAGCAAAAAGATGGTGACATGTATTAAGAAAGATGATACGCAAGTCCTAAAACCAGGCGAACACGCAATGCCATGCAGCATGCACCACTAAAGCACATGCATTCAGAGGGCTACTTACGACTGGAAATGAGATTAACTCGTAAAACCTCAGTGTAGTGAAAGGGGCTGCCCAGCAGCCACAGTCACAACTTGCAATTTCAGTGCAACACACTTTCATGGCACAGAGTCCTGAGCACTCCTGGGAAGGCCACATCAAAGCTCACAGGCACTGTGGTGCCTCACAAGACAGAAATTGAACAAACTTGCAATAGCAATTGCCACACTAAGACTTGGACAATCAAAACGACAGTCAATGGCCACACAGACCGATCCAAACAGCAATGAGCACCTGCTTGGCGACGCACAGTAATTTACTGAGCGAACATGTTGCTGCTTGATGTGCCACAGTACTGGACTTGGACCATGGCTGAGTGCTGGGGTGAATCTGTACCTAAATCCCAAGGCGGCGATGACCCAGTACAGAACGCTGTCACTGTCAAGTACACTATGTTGTACTGCTCCAATATTACCTGTATCCATGATCCTTATGGGATGGTTGGCACCATGGTGGCCAAACTTGAGCTTGAATGTGGAGCCGCCAAAGGCCTGGCCCAGTATTTGGTGTCCCATGCAGATACCGAACACCGGCACCTTTCCCAAGACCTCTGAAGCGTTTTCAACAGCATAAGGAGCTGCTGAGGGGTCACCCTGGAGAGGGAGACAGGAACACAAGTGGTCTGTTAAATGATGTGTCAAACAGATTTGATAGTCAGGTATTGGTACATCTTTCCCTTGTCTCCTCCTTTACTGGCTTGCTGATGTATATTTCTTGCCTGACAGGTGAAATGGCAGTGAACATTCCCTTAGGGACGGGTGCCATCAGCGAGAGATCAGCACTCCATCAGTCAGCACAGATACCCCAAGCACCTAAGACAGAAGGAAGATGTACTATGGAGCTCATTCTGGAGTCTGTCAGCAGTGTCTTTGTTGGACATTAAAATGGACCAGAAATCGGACAAGGCAAGGCAGTGCAAATGATTGCACTCAGTAGCCTGTACAGTTGCGAAGGCATGTCACATTCTGGAAAACCATCTGCATGCTCACAGGCAAATGCTTTCAAGAGGAAGCAGAGTGCTTGGAGAAGTCCCTTGACAAACTCACAGCCTGCCAATTCTGCTTTGGTTATTGGACTGGGGCGCGGCTGCATTCTGAGCACAGTGCCATCGTTCCGCAAGTACCTCAACCTCGTTATACAGGTCCGCTCGCTGGATGTTTGGTTGCCCCTTGTTATCATTGGTCAAAATATCACAAGCCAGGCCTTTCAATCACTGTGCAAAGTTGGGAGCTGTTATCATCAACAAATGGTTGTTTCAATGGTGACTCCAGTTTCTGCTTGCCACCAGACAGCCCTTTGCAGTGCTTGGTAGGCAATGTGCTACTAACAGCGCTGCAGTATATTAGCTGCCATCGCCACAGACAAAACAATGCTCACACCACTTTCTTCCACAGACTTAGCAGTGCCGGGCATTGGCAACACGCAAGAAATAGGAGTCTGGCGCACCTTGAAAACAAATGTATTGTGGTTTCTGCTGCTACTTACTGTATGCTTTTCATGCCCTGCTAAGAAGGTTCTATACCAGCATGAGCAAGAAAACACAAATGCTGCCTAGAACGGGTTTTGCCAATTGCTCAGCAGCCTTTCCTTTTCCTCCATAAGACTCATGATTTGTTAATTATGACACACGACTTGTAGCATATTGCTCTTCACGTAGAAGGTGTGACTCACAGGCCCGTTGCTGAAGAAGACGCCATCTGGGTCCATCTCCATGACTTTGCTGGCAGGGTAGTCAGCTGGAACAACTGTCACCTTGCAGCCATGGGCCTTCAGTCGTTGCATGATGTTGTGCTTGATGCCAAAGTCATAAGCTACCACCTGCCAAAGGTGGGCAACAGGACAAGGGAAACTAGCAAATAAGGAGTTGGCAAGTGTGAGCAGAGGCAGCATGCCACAAGTGAGCAAAATGTGGGTGTCATGTGACACACGGTCATATCACATGTCCTGTTCTTGCAAGTGAACCCCACACCAGAAGGAGAGCAAAAACAGAAGGAAAAAAGAGTTCAAAAAAGAAAAATGAATGGGTACTTAATGCAAATAACAAACAAATAAACAAAAAAGTGAATACGCAAATAAATAAACGAACAAACAAGTAAACAGACAAATATGCAGTACTTTCACAGATCGTTCCTGCCTTCACAGTGCCAAACAGTGCCCTACACAGTAAAGTCCGTGGCAGGTAATTGTACTTCAAGAGTTCTGCTGCTCCCTCACTAGCATTGTGAATCTGCACTCCAACCATTTGCACTAAGGCAGAAAAAGAGGCAGAGCATGGTGATGGGTAGCAGAGATGCCCCAGTACAAAGCCATACGATGCAGGCCTGTTTAAAATTTGGGGAATGAACTGTGCACAAAATTTGTGCACAGTCCAGCCATCTTTAGTTCTGATGGGTCCATGACAAGAAATAAAACTAGATTTCACAATACTCAATGCACAAAGTAAGAAATAGAAAATCAGTTTCAAGTCAAATACTGCAGTTGGACAACACTGGCCCCGATAAGGGGACTGTGCTTCAAGGTTCTGGATGCACTAAGAGTTGTAGCAGTACAGCAAGGGGATGTAACACTCTGCAGTATTGACATTGTGTCCAACCAAAATGACAACAACACTCTCATGCCTGCACCAAGGGACATCTCAACACACACACTCACATGAAACTGAGCTGCCCCATTGCCCTCCCTCACACCCTCGCTGAACTCCCATTCCTCCCCCGTGGTGTCCCTCCACTCATAAGGCTCCGTACACGACACAACAGACAGCAGATCCTTCCCCACGATCGTCCAGTTCTTGGCCCTCTGCAGCAGCTCCTCATCTGAGACTGCAACATCAGTGCTGATCACCCCTACCAGAGATCCGCTTTCCCTTATCCTCTTTGTCAGGGCCCGAGTGTCAACATCGGCGATGCCGATCACACCACGCTCAGCGCAGTACTCCCCCAGAGTCTGTGTAGCACGGTAGTTGGAGACACAGATGGACAGGTCACGCACGATGACAGCACGCAGGTGGCACTCTGAGGACTCGGAGTCGTCTGGAGGCACAAGCAACAATCCACAGTGACCTCAGATACTGACAAATTTGTGTGGGTTTTACCAACTGTCAAATTCAACTTAACCAGACCATGGCAAACTCAACTTGCTATGTCCCAAATGCGGGGCACATTGGCCCTGTTGGGTGATGTGGGTTGAACATGCACGAAAGTGCTTGTTCTCAGAAGGAGCAACAGGCAGGCACAAAGCACTCAAATGGGATTTGCACCCAATGCATTCAGCAGCACCTATGTTCTGGAGCCAGTGCAAGATGAAGAACCAGACGTGCCTGTACAGCATATCATTCTGCTCAATTACATTTAAACAAAGTCACCACTTTCCCCTGAAGAAACTCTGGCACAACTACATTTTATGTCCATTACGACAAAAAGAACTGACCCAGTCCTGCCTCATTTTCTGATGGATTTGTGCCCCTCAAAGGAGACATCAGGAATTTCAGGAAGGCCTTTGAACATGTGATCAACAATCGATGTTGTTTCAGCAGACCAGATGATTGTTGAGGCTGTGACCATAGGGAGCCACGTGAACCGTGGCTAACACCAGCAAAAACTCAGCAGATCTGGGACCTCAGCATCTTGACCAAAAGGGTAGTCCTCCATTACAATGCAAATGCCATACCGATGGGATGGCAGCACACATTCAGAGCAAGGGCAGCGATCATGAAGAGGATGTCCCAAATCCAAGAGGTCAAACACCAAGACAATCCTGACAACGATGAACAAAAGCATTCCGTGACCAATCCCCTGTTTCAGAAACATGAGCTGTCCCGATTCTCACCAGCATTCACACCCACGTTGCCGATGTGGGGGTATGTGAAGCACACGAACTGGCCCCTGTAGCTTGGGTCCGTCATCACCTCCTGGTACCCAGTGATTGATGTGTTGAAAACCACCTCCCCCACCTAACCGCAGAGGTAAGGAAGACATCAGCGCTTCCAGGTTCTGTGCTCTGTTAGACATGAAGGCTTGTATATGAAGTTTCACATCACGATTGTGAGCCTCAAAAACAATTTTTGATCCAATTTGTGCCCACCGTGCGACACGCCTTCTTAAAGTTTCAAGGAATCTATTCTGCGCCATTGATGACAGCCGAGCATCTTTCGGTCATACCAAATTGACTCAATCAAGCCAGAACTCTACAACGTCTTGGCATCACAGCCATCACCGCGTCATATATGCGCTGCAAGCTCAGGGCATTTCCACGTTTTGGCGACTGAAATCAAACGGACAATCACCCACCTCTGTCCCTGCCGCCCCAAAGCCGGACCCCCTCCAAACCGACCCATCTTCCAGCACCAGCCGCACATCCCGCGTTCTCCACGGCCTGCCAACTATGCCGCTGGACGTGTCGGCAGCCGCCGGCGCCGCAGATGCGACCGGAGCGCGGCGAGGGATCGATGCGATCAGGCGGGCGGACGGCGCCCGGTCGCGAAAGCCGGCAAGTGGAACCGCCCGGCGGCTGACGCCGGGCCCATGCCGTCGCCAGAGGGAGATCGACTCGTGGGAAGGGGCGGATTTGGCGGGCGGGGCGGGGGCGCCGGGCATCCTGGCGTCGGTGGAGGCGGTCGGTGTCATGCCGAGCCGCCACAAGGCCCAGCGCTTGCAGCACTGTGTTGGGGGCGTCTCTGCTATGGACACCACCGAATTTGTACGGACCCATTCACAATTCCCCTTTTCAGAATTGTAGGGGAATTGTGTCCTCAAGGAACACTGGAATTCTGCAAGGAGTCGACAAAGAATAACGTCCGCACAAGTAGGACACAACGATGCGATCGGGCTGGGGTACGACGGGCCATGGCTGTTTGACAAGTGGAAGTCGTCACGACACGGGACATAGTGTGAATCACACTATGAAACCAATTGTGTGAGCATGAACTACGAAATCATGCATCGTGCATGGTCACGTTGAAGACATCATCGCGCATGGCAAAGGTTGACGGCACATCATATTTATGACACCTGTGCTCACGTGCGATTCTACGCACCACGCCAGAAGGAAGGGTCGATGTTAGGGGGCCAGCCGTGGAGATTTATCATGTCGCCGAACCCTCGCACACACTGGAGAAAACCACATCACCACTTTGACTATTTGGGGCACCAATAAAAGGGGACAATTCACATAATGACAGACATCCTATATTTCGCCAAGCTGGTGCCCCAGGAGGCCCAGAATTTCCCAATCCAAGGGGCCCCTGTTTAATGGGGTATCAACTACATGGTGTAAAGAGTCGCCCAATAATGGATGTTGATATGACCGTTATGAACAGGGGATAATATAACAATCAATCGTCCATAAACTGGTTATGCGGCGCCCCTTAAGATGAAAAGGGGAATGGCTCTACTGGTGGCATGATGGGTAATAATTATAGTGCCTCGAAGGATGGATAATGGAAGATAGAATAATGATTGGAGTTATTAAAAGGGTTGTATAATGACATGACTCCAGGCGGGGTGTTGACTAATCACGCTCTTGTAATGACTACCCTTCATCTCGGTTCTAGCTCAATGGGAAAGGTGATGTGAAGGGGGGCAGTCAGCAAGGAATCATAATCAAATGGGAGAAATGCAAACCTTCACCGAATAGAAAGAGGACACAGGGATACGGAAGGATAGGTATAAAAGTACATCGTATGCAAGTTGGTAATGTGGGCAAGATACAAGGAATATATGGGAATGTGAGAGCAACTTGGCTCAAAGAGGGAACAAGATACATCCCTTTTAATTGGACATCTTACTGGTTGATTACACACTCACTTTAGGTATAAGCATATTGCCAGATGTACTTACAGGGAGATGGCTCTGATGTATAGCAAACAAAAGGACAGGGCGCCTTGTATATGATTATATGTAACGCTAAAAATTGAGTCAATTGCGTTTTGATTATTCCGTTGATTGTACGAAAGAAAGAAATACACACCAGCAAATGCAATGTACAGATATTGGTATGGTTATTTAGGAGCTGAAAAAAGGAATCTCATTCCAAAAATAGGAATGGCTTAATTGGTTTAATGATTCAGACGAATGCATTGAGATTATGGGACTGTCCAAGAAGGCCTCTAATTAGCTGTCATATCTAGGATGATGCGAAAGAGGGATAAGACAATGCCTATCCTGCATGCAGTATTGGCGCCCCGGGGTCCAAGTTGCCAGATTGCGCACGAGCCCAATCAATCCTTAGAAGGATGTTGACCCACTCGGATGATAGTGGGAGAAGCTTGAATGAGGTCTTTGGTGGATGAATATTGGAATGGAGGGGGGGATTTTGGCCTGCCCATCCTCACGGCGTATTAAAGCTTTGCGAGAAGCTCATGACCACTATGAAGCAGCGTGAAGACACCATGTTTGGTAGATATATCACAATAATGGGAGACAACGAGTTGGTGTTCGATATGCAATGGCAAAGGCTTCGCAACCTCCAAGATGTAGTCCTAATAAAATGGAGGGACTCACAACAAAGGTATCCTGCTCTATGCTAGCATGTTGATAGTATAACCTGCTATTTTGAAGAATTTCTTGAGACCCAAGGGGTTGCAGAGGAGATTGTGGCACAAAACATACAGATGTTCTGCCACCAATTGATATCAAACGTGGAACAAGAGTGAGATATTGCGGAGTTAGAAATAGACTACTTCTAATTGCAGACTTGGAGAAACATCCCTATGGTAGAAAGATCCATCAAGATTATTGAAGGGAAAATTCTAAACCAGAAAAAAACAAACTAGGGAGCATTTTCTTGATCGTTGGATGGGCCGCAAGACGTTGCAAGAATTCCTTGAAGGGCCCAAGGAGGTGGGATATATTTTATATACTTGAACAAGCTGACCAGTTTGCTATCAGGCACGCTGCCACACGAAGGAATCTCTCAGTGGCCTTTGGAGGCTATCTCAGTAGACAAGAGACATGGGAGAGAAATCACAATAGAAAGGGAGAAGCTAGCCTTGAGGCGTCAGGCCCAAAGCTGGTTTAGGGGGGAAAGGGAACTCACCATCAGGCAGTTGGAGCCAGGAGTCTCCTCGGTAGTTGCGTATTCAGAAAGCCTAAGAACTGACAAGGAGCAAGAGGTGGAGTAGGAGTCTAGGTGATGCATGGGAATGAAGAGACCTAGCGAGTAACTGAGAAGATGCCTTGGGATTGATTGCACTCAACGGGAAAGATAAGTGTGTTCGGGCTGGTCGGGAAGTTTTCAACAAGGTTTTGGGGCTGGAAAGGGAGACTCAAATTGAACCAAGCATACGGTTTTGAGCTCTCAAAAACATCTGACTATAGCCAAACCTTTCTGTAACTACATTTGCTATTTTGTGTATGAAATTCCCTTTTTTGTCGTCCCTCGTGGACATGAGCTCATCCACTGCCATGTTCTGTGAGGTTCCTATAGGGACGATCATTTGCATGGGAAGGGTGTGAATCCATGTGAATCAGGGCAGGACATATGCGGACATGCGGAAATGATTGAGGTGACCAATTACGGATCATGCCATGGGCAGGAACATCCCAGTGAGCGGACAGGCCTTGGGCCACCGTGTGTCATATGGAGTGGGATTGAAAAGAACATGAGAGGCAGATGGGTCACTTTAGGAGGCTCTCAAATGTTGTGCCGGCCCTGCTGATCTGCCTACATGGATTCCATGCAATGAGCCACCGGCATGCGTAGTTTTTGTTGCATTTGTGCTTCGCCACATGTTATGGCCATGTGTCTATTTGTCTAGCTATTGAGCGAAACCAATAACACAATCGAGCCGTATCTGTCCCTTTGGTTCATAAGCCACAAATAGGATGACAGTCGGTAAAAGCTAGATACAATCACTAGATCAGATTTGGGCAATGCGAAGGGCCATAGAGAGAAGCGCCAACCGACGGATGCATCGACTGAGGGGTGTCCTGATTGAGGAAGAGGAGGACATAAAGTGGAGAGCATCGCAGATCTTGGACACCTTAGACTTCGCGAAAACCATAGTTCAGATAGGCAAGAGCAGGGGGACAAGGCACTACTGACCGATGGTATGAGAGTGTTGAGGGCTCTTGGCGAGATGCAGATACCACTTTGCTTTCATAAGATGATGCTTTGAATATATTCAAGAGGGAGTTGGCAAAACACATCCGAGTGGCTACGTTGGCTATGGACATAAGGATTGTTTAGGAAGCCAAGTGCACCATTGAGTACATGGTCTTGTGAAAGGACCCACAACCTATCAATGGGTAATGCATATCCATTCAGTTTTTAATGAGGAGGGCTTACAATATGTTTGACCTTTGGCATGTTTTGTATTTAAAGTGATTGTGTGAAAAATCGCCTTTTTTCAATTTTGCACAATTGCCAATAGCACTGTAAAGCCTCCACTAAAAACCTTTTCTTCTTGCTTGCAATGCGTTCTTGAAATTAGAATTTCGTTAGTCAGAGAGGCACATTTCTGCATTCGTCAGGATATAAAATTTTACCAACCAGATTTGATATCAATAGCTAAAATTTTTGCAATGGTCTGCATGAACGCTTGTGGACACATTTAAAAATATTTTCTTGATTATTTTATTAATTTTTATATTGTGGTTTTGCAGCAGTTTGAATATTATCCAAAGGCTAGACATGTTGCTTTTGGTCTGGGGTTTATGTGCAATGCCCCATGGCAACCTATCTTTGTTTTAAATGTATCAGATAATACTTTTCAACGCTCAACTATCATTGTATTGTTGTGTTATGCTCAAGAGCTTATGTGCACCTCAAGGTACAACTGACATTATAGAATTTGATTGCACGGTCAAGTTTATTGTACATATTTTTCATGATAGCAGTGTGTCACAATTTGTGTGGTTGTGTGGTAGATATTCCAAAAAGGGCATACCATTATATTTCATGGAGGGGCGAATATGGTTTCTTGATCATAGGCATATGTGCGGTTGTGATTATTGGGTGTTTCATTAGGCCATATGATATTTGTGGTGTTCTGGGTATGAAAAAGAACATTGGCGCACTATGAAGTGCCACACCACCAAACGTTTGGTGGGAAAGCGAGCTGGGAGTAGCAGTTGGGGAGGCCATGCACCCCCATTGCAAGCGGAAAAGAGAGTAGCCTCACTACCCAATGGTGCACCATTACTGTGACAATCACGTTAAGTTTGTTGCTTGACATTCACTCAAATCCATCCCTTGAATCTAATTCAAAGAAAGCGAAAAATACAAAAAGATATATGAAGGGATGGTAAAGGCATGAGCAATAGCTATAAAGGATATTGAAAAAGTGAGACTTAGGTGGGAAGGGGAATGAACCAATGTTGAGGAGGTAATTGAAGAGGAGGTGATTAGCAACAATGCGTTAAGAACATAAAGGAAGATGACTCCTCCGAAAAGAAGAGTAGGCAAAGGAGGGACCGTTTCCTCAGATGGGTAAGGGGGCAAAGGTGGGACCTGACCACCAACAGCCCCCTGGCATGGTGAGGACATATCTGTAGAGTGAATCAAGGTCTCACAGACCTTGAACTAGATATGATTTGATTTGAGGTGATCTCACTTGGTATGCCAAGGGATTTTGAGGAGTGAATTATTTTTAGTG